TCTCTCCTCTGTCCCCTCCGCATCCTTCTGGGCTCTCTGCTCTCTTCCAAGGCAAAGAACACACATTTACCGAGCACCTATGGCATGCCAAACAATCGCCTGTGCTTCCTCCGCTGTCCTCTCACCCTGCTATTTCACCGACCTGTGGTTTCTGCTGCTTTCTGCTCTCTGCCAGAGAAGGAACGGGCACTTACTGAGCACCTGTTGTATGCCAGACAATCTCCGTACACTCTCCTCCCCCCTCCATTCTCCCTGTTCCTTCATTTCTGACTTCTCCTTCTTTCCGCTCCATCAGCTCTTCCTTGGGGAAGACGACAAGCAACTAGGGAGCACCAACTGTATGCCAGGCAATCAACGTTCCATCTCATCTCCTCTTGCCTCTTTTTCCCTGTCCCTCTCGCTCGGCCAGGCTTCTCCCTTCCCTGGGCCCTCTTTTGGGAAAGAGAAGGAGCATTTACTGAGCACCTCCTGTGTGCCCCATGATTTGCCTGCACTACCTCTGCCTGTGCCTCCTCTCCTCTGCCAGTTCTTGAGGTCCCTTCCTTCCTTCCTTCCTTCCGGTCCGCCGCCCTCACGGCCTCCTCTGCCCTCGACCTCAGCCAACCTTCCTTTCCCTTCGCCCGTGCCTGCGTCTTCCTTTTCCTCTTGTTCTCTCTCTGCCCCTAGGAAGACAAGGTGCATTTACGGAGTGCCTCTTGGGTACCCACAGCCTAACCTACGCACTCGCTTCTCCTGGGCTCCTTCTCTGCTCTAGCTCGTCCCCCTCCTCTCTGCTCTGTCTGCTCTCTCCCAGGGAAGGAGGTAGGCATGAATTAAGCACCTGCTGTGTGCCGCTCCTACGCATACACTGCCATGGCTTGCTTCACTGCCTCTGTTCTTCCGTCCGTCTTCCTCTCTGCTTCCTTCCCTCCTCCTGGCTGCTTGTGTGCTCATTACCAAGGAGGGCAACGGGCAGTTATTAAGTGCCTACTGTGTGCCCGCTGTTCTACATACACCGTCTCCTTCCCTCACAACTTCTCCTGTTTATTCTCTCTGCTGGAGCCTACGCTTCCCTGTCTTCTTTCTCCTGGGAAAAGAACTATCACTTAATAAGCACCTACTGTGTGCCCAGCAATTGCCACCAATGACTCTCTCTCTCCTTAGGCTGTCTTTCCCCCCGTTTTTCTGCTATGGTGGTCTCTTCCCCTTCTTTCTGACTTGCTTCCTCTCTCCTGGAGACGGGAGTGGGCATTTCGAGCACCTACTGTGTGCCAGGCTCTTTACAAGCACAGCCTCCCCTGCTCACTGCCTCCTTCCCCCCCCTTCCCTCTGCTGCCTCTTTGCTTCCTTCCCGCTCTCAGTGCTGCCGGCGACGGGACAGGGAAGGGGCACCGATGGAGCACCAGCTGTGTGCCGGGTCACTCACACACACTGACCCGGCTCCTTCCGCCTTCTGTCCCGCCCTGCCCCCTCCCGCCCTTGCCCTCTGCTGGCTTCCTTTCTCTTGTTCTTCCTTCTCAGTAGCGGGAGCTCGGCATTTCCAGGCAGAAGGGATCTCGGGGTCGGGGTCCTCCGGGGGGGGGGGGGGGGTCTGTCACCACCACTGCAGAAGCGCAGGCCGTCGGGCCCCTCGCAGCCTCGGTGACAGCCAATCCGGGCTCCAGTTTGCTTCCTTCATTAGAGAAAAGAGCGGATGTGGGTGACGGGGTGACGGCCACTCTGTGGAGTCGGGGAGCGACAAGGGGACTGAATGAAGGCTGAGAGAGACAGTAAGCGAGAAAGTGCTAGAAGGGGACCAGGGAGGCAGCGGGTGCCCACGGCAGGAGGCGCCTCACTACCTCCCCCCCCCCAGCTGATGGATGGCCACACCGATAGAAAAATATCGGAAGGGGAAGGGGGCCTTCCTCCCTCCCTCTCCCCCCCTGCTCGCTCCAGTGTCCGCCCCACCCCCGCCCTCCAGTCCGCCTCGGTCGGACCCCTGACCGGCTGCCACGCGGCTCTCTCACCCCGTCTCACTCTCTCGGACTCTCTGTGTGGCTTTCGCTCTCCGACTCTGTCAGATTCTGCTTGAGTCTCTCTCTGAGCCGGTCTCTCTCTCAGTCCCTCTCTTTCTCTCTCTTTCACCGTCCCTGACTCTCTGGCCGAAACTCTCTCTCTCTCTCTCTCTCTCTTTCAGACTGTGTCTCTCTCAGACTCTTAGACTCTCTGACTCTGTCTCCCTCCCTCCGTCTTCGACCCTTCCTGACTCTGTCCCTGTCTGACTCTCGGGCTCCGTCCCTCCGACCCTCTCAGACCCCGTCTCTCGCAGAGTCTCTCTCTCTCCGACTCTCTATGACTCGGCGTCTCTCGGACCGTCTCTGTCTCTCTGAGACTGTCTCTTAGACTCTCTCAAACCATGTCTCTCTCAGTCTCTCTTTTAGACTCTCCGTGACTTTGTCTCTCGGACCGTCTCTGTCTCTCTGAGACTCTCTCCCTCTCTGTCTCTCTCTCAGACCTTGTCTCTCAGACCCTCTCAGATTCTCTCTCTCTCAGACTCTCTGACTCTGTCTCTTTCTCTCTGTCTCTCTCACACTGTCTCTCTCTCATTCAGATTCTCTCTCAGACTCTCTCTCTGTCTCTCTCTCAGACCTTGTCTCTCAGTCTCCCTTTCAGACTCTCTCTGACCCTCCGTCTGTCTCCCTGCCTCCCTCAGACTCTCTTCTCTCTGTCTCTCTGTGTCTCTCAGTCTCTCTTTTAGACTCTCTCAGACTGTCTCCCTCAGATTCTCTCTCTCAGACTTTCTCTCAGACTCTTTTATGTTCGCCCTCAAACTCTTGTCTGATTCTCTCTGTCTCTCTCTGTCTCTCTCTGTCTCTCAGACTGTCTCTTAGACTCTCAGACCTTGTCTCTCTCACAGTCTGTCTCTCTCAGACTCTCTATGACTTGGTGTCTCTCTGACTCTCTCACACTGTCTCTCTCTCATTCAGATTCTCTCTCAGACTCTCTCTCTGTCTCTCTCTCAGACCTTGTCTC